AGAGGAAAGGTTATGCATGCTATGTGATGATCTAGCTGTTGGCAATGAGATGCATGCTTTCTTAGATTGCAGGAATCCAGAGATTGAATCTGCTAGGTGCAAATTTATGAGTGTAATCTCAATGCACAAAGAATTTCAAAGTTTGCCTAAGCAGATCATGTTTAAGAAACTGATGAATTCAAAAGATAGTTTCATTGCCAGCAGTCTAGGAGTCTATATACATAAAATCTTAGAAATGTATGCTAATTGTTAAACATCTTTTTAATTTTTTATTTTTATTATTGTTGTATTTGTTGTATTTGTGCGTTACTGTGTTGGTTTTTGGCCATAAGTTATGTAATTTCTTACATTATTTCGAGTCAAATAAAAAAAAATATTCTATTCTATAAAAATTACGAGCATTAACCATGTATATCATTCATGGTGCAGCGTGAACCTTTTGACAATGAACTGTCAAACAACCACTTTTGCACTGAAAATTGGATGTTGAACTAGTTCTTTGTCAAAACTGGAATGTCAAACTACCAATCTTATTCCAGCTACCATTATTAGGATTTTGACAACAGCGGATGCGGTACATTCGCGTTCTCATTGAATAGTGCGTTCTCGTTCAACCGACAGCAAAGCTATAGTCCTGTGCCCAGTAAGTTTTAAGTTTATTTAGTTTCCATACGGCGACGGTGATACTAATATTTACAGATAAACATGTTTCCTACCCATGTACTGGAAGTTAATCCCGCTAAAACGTGTCCCAATGAGCGGCATTTACGCTGCAGAGTGAATAACGTGGCATCGAAAAGTGTGACTGTAAATAAAGTACTATATAGAACTACATACACGGGGTCGTGACCGAAGTGTGTTACTACGAATAATTGCCTGATATGCCCGGGGGTCACTGGCCTTTCAGTTTGGTAGGGGTGTGCGGCCGGGAAGTAAAACCCCAGACCCCATCATAGAACATTTTCACCTCAAAAACCATACCCCATTCCAGACGAAAGGGCGGCACGTCCCCATAATGTTATTTGCAATGTTGTTGGAGGTCAAACGGTCATGAGGTGGAGCGCATG